TTTTTTTTTTACTCGAAAATAACGATAATATTACTTTAAAAAAAAAAAGGAAAAAAATAATTATAGTAATAAGTTAGATGAGCTTCTCTCACTCCCCCAAAACAAATAAAATAAAAACATCAGAAATCAAAGTCGGACAAGGGAGACGGGTAGGGCGCGAACAATGACGGTGTGGGTTAAATTTGCGTGGATATGATCAAGGTCCTGTAGCTTTTCTGAGTCGTGTGGATTACGATTCCGTTTTCCATCTAGAATATATTCCTCACCTGAATTCCTGACGATTTTAAACGGTTCTGTAGCTAAGCATGTTTGGCTGTCAGTTTGTAATCAAATCGTTGAGAGAGTGAAAGCAGGAGGGGAAAAATACTATCTGTAGATCTATCGAAAAGCTAAAACTTTTATTGGCCTTTTTCGGGGTTAAAAATTTTTTACCAGTAATTTCTTGCGCTAAAAGTAAAACAGATAATCTATCATTATCTCATTTTTCTAACATTCCGAATTTGCTTTTGCCTTCCAGAGTCCTTGTGAAAGTTTTCCCTGTCAGCACGGTGGAACCTGCCGAGCGCTTTACGAGACTGACGACTACCAATGTACATGCACACCAAACTTCATCGGCAGAAACTGTGAGAACAGTGAGTTTCTTGACGTCTTTACGTTTCTGTTATTATAAAATAAATATAACAGGACTGATAATTATGCAAACGAAATGAGTTTTTTCATTTCGTACCGCAACAAAGTAATGGATTTGTTTGCTCTCAGCATAGTTTCTAGAGGGTAATGATTATGAAGCCCAGCAAACATCAAAGGAGCAAACAAAGATGCCCAGATTCATGTTGGAAGGTCCATGACCGTGCACAATCTTTTGTTTTGCGTTCATAAATTATACATGAATTACGTAACCAAAACGTTTCTATTGGTTAGTTTGTCAGTACGGAGTAAACAACTATTATGTTTTGTGGACGGTCAAGGCCATAAAAGCGAACAAAAACACACAACAAAGAAATTTGTCGGGTTTGAAAACCATACTCCTCTATTAACTATACTCTCAGTAAGTGATTTAGGACAAGTGATAACGGAGCCGAGCATTCAAACATTAAAACAAGTGTTACAAAGTAAACATAACAAGGTTAAATATCCCGACTGGCAGTGGGCGAGCCAGTTGGCTATTTACAGCCAGTTGGATCCCTTAAATTAATTTATTCCCATAATTAAGCCAGTTAAGTGAAATTTCGTTGTTTTTTATTCTTTTGACCGAAGATGGTTTCGTACGAATACAATTTTAATAAGCAGCGGTACTATGAGCAGGCATTATTACTGATAGGTTTACGTCCGTGGGGATGGGGCTTCTTCTAGGGAGGTCCTAATTTCCAGGAGAGAAGCTTAACATTGGAAATTATATTTTCTTTTTCTTTTTCAGTTCATTTTTAATTTTAGTTTTCGTTAAGTCTTTTCCCGTTGCATTAAATTGTTGCAGACCTGAACGAATGCACTACCAACATTCACAATTGTGACGATAACGCAGATTGTGTGAATACCATGGGCTCATATTTCTGTAAGTGTAGAGCTGGATATACAGGAAACGGACAAACTTGCAATGGTAAAAGACAAACAAACACTACTAAGGTTATGCCAAGGTTTTTGTCTGGATCCTACCAAAGTCAATACAAAGCGAGAGACCATGATGTAAGATTAGTGTCTTGTACAAACTGGAAGTGACTGCTATATGTCAGTGTTCAGTGTGCAAAACTCTGGATTGAAAATGGATCATNCTAATTTCCAGGAGAGAAGCTTAATATTGGAAATTATATTTTGTTTTTCCTTTTCAGTTCATTTTTAAATTTAGTTTTCGTTAATTCTGTTCCCGTTACATTAAATTGTTGCAGACCTGAACGAATGTACTACCAACATTCCTAATTGTGACGATAATGCAGATTGTGTGAATACCATGGGCTCATATTTCTGTAAGTGTAGAGCTGGATATACGGGAAACGGACAAACTTGCAATGGTAAGAGACAAACAAACACTACTAAGGTTATGCCAAGGTTTTTGTGTGGATCCTACCAAAATCAATACAAAGCGAGAGACATTATGATGTAAGATTAGTGTCTTGTACAAACTGGAAGTGACTGCTATGTGTCGGTGTTCAGTGTGCAAAACTCTGGATTGAAAATGGATCATTTTAATTCGACTCGTATGTCGAGGCTATCAAGCACAAGAACGTTGTAATGCAATCAATTTATCTAGCTTTTCCTTTTTCAAACATCACAATTTAAAGAAATCCAAACAAACAAAACTGTCGGTGAAAAGACAGTCGGTGAAAGGAGTTTTTGTTTTGACCGTAACTGAGTTATATCTTGGAAATCCATATGACATTCGTCAAAAAATTATTTCAAATCGTTTACAAAAGGCACAAAATTAAGCACTCGATTCCCTGACCAAAAACATTTCTACTGCATAATTCGTGTTAGACCCGACGACGACAAGCAAAATTATAACTACCGTTTCATTGTGTGTAATCCACACTACAAAAAAGCGAGCCCTTGTGAGCCCGTGAATGATGACATTTCACTTTGTCCACTTTTCCCCAGGAGACACTAACGCAATTTGAATCACTCAATTATAGCGACTTTACCATGTTAGGCTCGGAAGATTTTTTTCTGGCAAAACACTTGTGAAGCACCTAGCTCAAAGTCGCCAAAGCTTAGTGCTGTACTAGTTTTCGTGCCTTTTACCTCAGAAATCAGTGAATTAATCAATGAATCAATCAATGAATTAATCAATCCAGCAAGCAAGTGAGCAAGCGAGCGAGCAAGCAAGCAAGCAATTAATCAGTTAAAGAGGCAAGCAGGCAAGCAAGCAATCAATTAAACAATCAATCAATCAATCGAACAAAAAAAGAGGCAAACGATAGAATCAAACAGAGAGCAAAAATCGGTCAAGTGAATCCCAGCTTGCGAACTGCAGATACGAACATTTCTGCAAATACTTGAAACCTAGTATCCTGAACTTTTGTTTCATTTTGCTTTGTTTCTGTTGCATAGACATCAACGAGTGTAGTGTTGTTCAAATCTGTGACGTAAACGCCAACTGCCAGAATACCCTTGGGTCTTACAGTTGCTCGTGTAAGCGGGGATTTTATGGAGACGGCAAAACCTGTGCTCTTCGAGGTATGTTTACCAAGTTTTCTAAAAATAGTTCTTTTTTTTACATTTACGCCAGATAACAGGAGCGCCATAACTATAGGAATAGAACCACATGCATGCGTAGAAGTAGAAAACCACGCAACTTTTTTTTCTCATGGTCAACATGGCTAGCGGCATAGATTGCGGGCGCGCGCGCCCTACGACGACGACGACGTGGCACATACTTCAACCAATACCAAGTCTTGAAGTCTTGGTCTACACCGTACTTCTTTGATATTGGACATCCACGTTATGGTCATTCCACAGCTGTCAAAACAAGGTATCTGCTTACCAGTATCACGTGACCATACCGCGGGGTCAGGTTTAGAACTCCTCGAGGCCACTTGTTCTTGTTATAGTTGACCGTTGACCAAGTACTGGTTTTCTATTGGATGGCGGGTTTATGTCATGTTAACTTGTTGTGAACAGAAAGGGCCGGGTTGATAGGAAGCCAGTCAACGCTAACCCAGGATTAACAGTTAAACGCAGTATAAATTTTTCTTCTATACAAATGTTTTTCACCGCTTTTATTTTGTGTAGTTTGAGATGATTCAAACTCAAAACAGACCAAGCAATATAAATAGAAAACCTCACCGCAAAGCTAAATAACTCAAATAAAAATTCTCGTTTATCCTGGGTTAGCTTAAATGGGCTTTTACAAGCCGGCCCAAGAACTTCGCTTTTAGGCCTGGCTAAATCAATTTATATTAATCTAATGATGTATGCTCGTGGCCTGAGGAAAGCCTTCGCGAGAGAAATTTAAAACAATCGATTCATGATTTTTGCCGTGCATCAATGAACTACAGTGATGCACCTGGAAAGTTTGGAGAGCACCCAAGAGACTCTAGTTGCTCTCCGCTACGCCTTGTGATCAAACAGCTCTGCACGCTTTCAGTGTACTCTTAACTACTTCCCGTGTTCATTGTTTAAGTTAACTCAAGGTCTAGATCCGCCATTGGGAGAATGTGGCAAAATACTAGGGTAGGGACTTTTAATGCGATAGCGTACTAGTCCCAACCAGAAAAGACAAATCCGCTACAATTTTAATTAGAAGAACGGTCGATCTGAGTTCCAACCTCTTGAGTCACTTAGCTTAACATGTAATCATCTCTTTGAATTCGTTTCTTTCTCACAGATACCTGTCAAGACGTCNCCACGTTATGGTCATTTAACACCTGTCAAAACAAGGTATCTGCTGACCAGTATCACGTGACCATACCGCGGGGTCAGGTTTAGAGCCCACTTGTTCTTATTATAGTTGACCGCTGACCAAGTACTGGTTTTCTATTGGATGGCGGGCTTATGTCAGGTTAACTTGTTGTGAACAGAAAGGGCCGGGTTAATAGGAAGCCAATCAACGCTAACCCAGGATTAATAGTTAACCGCAGTATAAATTTTTCTTGCATACAAATTTTTTTCACTGCTTTTATTTTGTGTAGTTTGAGATAATTCAAACTCAAGACAGGCCAAGCAATATAAATAGAAAACCTCACCGCAAAGCTAAATATCTCAAATGAAAATTCTTGCTTACCCTGGGTTAGCTTAACTGGGCTTTGAATAACCCGGCCCAGGAACTTCGCTTTAAGGTTTGGCTAAGCCTTAGCTCAAGGTCTGTATCCGCCATTGGGACAATGTGGCAAAATACTAGGGTAGGGACTTTTAAAGGGATAGCGTACTAGTCCCAACCAGAGAAAACAAATCCGCTACAATTTTAATTAGAAGAAGGGCGGATTTGAGTTCCAACCTCTTCAGTCACTTAGCTTAACATGTAATCATCTCTTTGAATTCGTTTCTTTCTCACAGATACCTGTCAAGACGTCTTGCAAGGCAACTCGACCGCTAGTGACGGAACTTACGTGCTATCTTCGTCATTAATTTCGGTAAGATCTTTTCATGTAATAATGTGCCAGTACAAACCATTCGTCGTGGCATAAAAAAAAAAAAAAAAAAAAA